AACCAATTTCTTTCAAGCACTGCATATTTAGCCCACCAGAATAATATGCCTCCAAGTGTACATTCATTTTTATTAACTCCATGCCTTTGTTCTTATCATTCCCCTGCTTATGAATATTTAGCCATAGTTTATTTGTAAGCTACCTGCCTAAAACAAGGAGGCATATAAAGTTTGAAAAAAATGGATGGAATAAAATAGGCCAGGCAAACATTAATTAAAAGAAAGCACATTATATAATATTAATTTCTAACAATATAGAAATCAACACTAAATGGCACAAATATGAATATTTTATATTGATAAAGTGATCCATTAAGGTTATAAAATGTATATATAAACAACATAATTTTTAAATCTATGGAACCCTCAGAAATATCAAGAAAAATTGTCATACCTATAATCACAATGGGAGACTGTATTACACATTTTTTTTTTTTGGAAATCAGCAAATCAAGTAGACAAAGAATAAGTAAGGAAACATAGAATTTAAAGAACATAAATAAGTGTGCCAATATATTAATAAAGAATGCTGAAGCCAAAAAAGAGGAAATCCACATTCTCTCCAAATAACCACAACATGTTTTCAAAATTTAACTACAACTAGAAGAAAAAGTGAAATGGAAAAAAACTGAAAAGCCCATATGTGGTGTTTGTACAAAAAAGTGCAAGTTGTTGTTCTAACCCTCCTATGATCCAAGCATTTCCAGATATTGAGACAATGTCAACTTTGTGGATTGTTAATCCACAGACAGCCATGTGTTTAGAAAGACACATATCCTCACAGAACATTTTACACTCTCTCACAATAGGCAATTCTATTATTTTTTTCCAGTTTTCCAGCTTTGTTTTTATTTACAAAGGCAATACATGAACGGTGTGGAAAATCCAAATGATATAGAAAGAAAAAGAAAGAGAGAGAAATCTTCTAGAAATCCCACAAAATGTCAATGATTGACATACTTGAACATATCCTTCCAGACATCTCCTCTGAATATGCGCCCACTTGCATTTTTTGATACTTATGTCATCGTTCAAAAGGAATCATATCACATAGGCAGTTTTTCAACTGCATTTTACACTTAGTAATATATCAAGGGAATATAGGTAACATCATTGCATATGATGAATAAAGATATAGGCAATCAATTATAAGATCTTATTTTTATTGCATATGCATTTGAGCTAATTAAATAATATCCCATAGTTAAGGATTACACTTATATCAGCAAAAATACAAATTTATAACCATTTGCTAGCCATAGAGGTTAGCATAAAGACTTAAAGACTTTCCACATTCACAATGCAATAATTTTTAAGGTAAAGCTGCCATGTCAAGAGCTCTGGAAACTATGGAGCCTTCTAAAAAGAAGCACATAAAACAGCATACATAAATTCTGTTCTATTATAATTTAGGACAAGTGATAGAATATGTATATTGTGTGTGACATAAATATATATAATGTGTATAACTCAGTTCCATATAATATATGCTATATAGTGTGTAATAATTATATGGCATTATAACTATATATAATTATAACTAAATGCTATATATAATATAACCTGTAATAATTATATAATCATACATATGCAATAATTATATAATGTATGTTATATATTTATATTATTATATATAAAATATATAGGACTAAATTGTTAGTACTCTCTAATCAATGCAAAGATTCAGAGGGAAAAAGAGAGATACCAACCAAAAAGGTTTTCAGTGTCCATGCTTAATAACAGAGCAGGATTTGAGAACACTAGTATTGAAGGATGGGGAGCCAAATATCACCAGGGGTAGCACATGAGGAAGAGGGGAGACTTACTCTGAAGGAGAAAATTATTGTTGTATAACCACAAATATTATTCAATTAGTAAGTTACAAAAATATGTATTTCAAGGATTTCTCTATATTTTTATTTCAGTATAGGTAAAATTTGTTTAAACCAAAATGCAAAGAAGTTATACTTTATCATTTGGCAAGATTTACAAAGTCTTCTGCGAAATAAAATATAAAAGGAATCTACTGAGCAAGTTTATACTGTGGATAATTTAAAGGTTCATAAAGATAGCAATACTACCTCAACACAGTAGGAGACAAGTACATGCTATAATTACTAGAAGTAAATGGTTAAAATTGCAACAGTAAGGATAAAAACAGAGTGCTATGGGTGTTTTTGAGATGGGGAGATAGTTGTGACTAGGAACCTTGGAAGACTCTTTTTAAAATCATCAAGCATAATGCAGTGGTTGAGAACACTGACTCTAGAGACAGACTGCCTGGGTTCAAATCCCAAACCCACCATTTACTAAATATAGAACATCAGTAAGTTTGTTTCACCTCTCTCTGCCTCAGTTTCCTCAATTTTAAGTAGGGATATCACCGTCCTATTTCAGAGGACTGTTACGAATTAAACGAGGCAATATCATTAAACAGATCCTGGCACATTTGTACCCTTCAGATTATTCTCCAAACTGGCTGAACCCATCAAAACTCCCATGAGAGTATACAAATTTTCCTATTTCCCACATCACTACAAACATCCAATTTTGTAAAGTTTATCATTCTGATGAATGTAAGATTTATCATTTGGATTTATTAATAATTAGGTTTTCTCTGATTATGAATAAGTTCATTATTTGGCTTTCTCCTCTGAGCTGCCTTTGATTGCCTTTGTCCATTTCTCCATTGGGGTCCTACTCTTTTTCCTGTTGTATGCAGGAATTACACCTTAGTCCCTGGGTGATTTTAAACTGTGCAAATATCCTCTCCCAGTCTCTCATCCATCTGTTCATCTATGTCAGTGGCTCTCCAAGTGTGGTGTGCCAACTACTGGGGGTCCCTCAAGATGTTTTCAGGGAATCTGCAAGGTCAAACTATTTTCATCACAGTACAAAGACATTATTTGCCTTTTTCACTGTGTTACCTTTGCATTGATGGTGGGTAAAACTGCTGGTGCCTTAACATGAATCAAAGCAGTAGCACTAAAATTGTCCTCAACCACATACTTGCAGAAAATAAAAAAGGCCACTTTCACTTAAAGAACATCCTTGCTGGAGCAGTAAATATTATTAATTTTATTAAATCTCAACCCTGACTTGTTTTATAATATCCTGTATAAGGAAGAGGGAGGCATGAAAAAAGCACTTCTGCTGCATAGTGAAGTATAACATTCATCTGAAGAAAAAAGCATACGTGCTTTGTGTTGGGAGTGTAACAAGCTAGTTTTTCATGGAACAGCATTTTTGCTTGACAGACAGTTTAGCAAACTATGTTTGTTCAGACTTGGAAAGTATATATTTTCTCATAAGCAGAGTGAGTTGCTTCATTAATTCCAACATTATTTACAGTTGGTTTTTTTGTTTGTTTTTTATTTTCTGTTGGGAAAAATGATGTCTGATTTTTATCTGATTTTGTCTTATCTCTTCCAGTTCCCTATTACTGATGTAGAGAAATTTTATCTATTTTGTCAGTTGATTTTCCTTCCAAGAACTATACTGAATTCTCTTACTGGTCCTAATACCTAGTTAATTTTGTTGGTCATTTTATGGAAATCATTTTGTATTTGCTAATAATGAGTTTTATTTCTTTCTTACAATTCTTACAACTCTTCCATGCTTTTGTTTTCTCACAGCATTGGATAAGTCTTTTATGTTAAACCTCAGTGTATACCAGTCATTCTTGCTTAAGTATGAATTTTGGGGATGTTAGTTTATAAACATTGTCAAGTTAAATTTTTCTATTCCTACCATACTAAAATCTTTTAGCACATGTATGTGTTGAACTTTAGCAAATGACTTTTTGTGTCAATTGATGTATTCATGGCTTTCTTCCTTTATTGTAATTAATGTGGTGAATTACATTGACAAATTTTTCTGATAGTAAATAACCTTTAAATTTCTGTGTAAACCTTATTTTGTCATGATACAGCTATAATTAATTGGCTATACTGTTCAATTAGATGATGTTTTAGTTAAAATTTCCAAGTATATATTCATAAATGAAATGGGTCTGTAATTTTATTTTCTTGATATGTCTTTCTCTAAAGATTTTGGACACAAGGTTACAAAAGCTTACAAAATGATCAGGGAAGCTTTCCTACTTTTTCTAAAACAATTATGTCTTCCTTGTAAATTTATTAGAAGTTACCTATAAAATTGTCTGGTCTGGTTTGGGGCTTTTGAACTAAATTCTTTCATTCTTTGGTACTTATTATTATACGTAACTTTCCTATTTCTTCTTATGCCAATGTAGGAGTTTCACAATTTTGCAGGAATCTATCTATTTTGTCTAGGCTTTCAAAAATATTAACAATTGTTCATAATATTCTAACATTATATTATTAATTACTCTTATTTCCTTTTATTCATTATTATATATTTGAATCATTTTTTCTAATCATTCTTTCCTGAATTATTATTAATATGTTCAAAGAGCAAGTTTTCAGTATTCCAAATATTTTTCTATTGTTTTTGTTGTTGCTTTTTCTCTATTTCATTTATTTCTGCCCTTATATTTCCTTCCTTTTTTCTCTTGATACGTTTTGCTGTTTTTGCCCAGTTTTTAGAGACACTAAAAGTTCAGCTTGTTTTCAATCTTTATTCTTTCCTTATAAATATTAAAAAGCTAGAGATTAGACTTCCTTTTCTCCCATAAATACTGACTTTTTGTGTTTCACTGTCATTCAGCTATAAATGTTTTATAATTTCCTTTATTCTTTCATAGTCTCAAATTTATTTAGTAATATATAATTTTGTTTGTATGCATAAAAGAGACATTTTTAACTATTCTGTTTTTATTAATAGATTCCACTATGGCCCCAAAATGACTGACGCAGATACTTCTATACAGAGCACATAACTTACGCATAGGAAAATACACATATTAAGACACAACCCACTGTTTCTCAGGAAGAAATCAAGGTACAAAGGACAATTGTCAGCTGAACAAACAACTAATCATTCTTGGTATAAAACGCTCAATCCAGACATGACCTTTTATTACAGCATTTCCTATTTCTAAAATAAACTAGTACAAAGACTGTAAGAAACATTCTTTCACTGGTCCTCCTTATTTGCCGCATTAGATTTTCAGTTGCTTCTTAGCTATCAAAATTCCTAGACACAGTAACTGACAAGAATTCAGCTGACAGGTAGTTTGACCAGACCTGGAAGGAAGGATTCCTTCAAGGGTAGGTACTTGGGAATTCACAAATTAAAACTTTTGAATAGAGACTCAAGGTTATGTTCTTAAACATTCTATTTCTAGTGATTAATGTAAAAATTCACTGACTAGAACAGCATTTCTAAATGTTCTTTTAGCTACAAATGTGGTGAGTTATGTTATTTTATTTTTCTAACCTTCATAGTATTTAACAGTAAGACAAAAATTCATAAAATTTCATGGGACTTCATAGATTAGTAAAATCCACATCCTACCTAATTTGTCATGTCTTGATTTCTCTTTGCACTTTTACTGGCAAATAGTTTTAACATTAGTGAAATTTGCTAACTGGACATTAGCCCTCATCTAAATGACTGTACATAGAGCTGTGAGTTACTTTTCAGAATATAATTGTTATATCCAGTTTACCTACATTTGGGCTGAGAATAAGAACTAAAGACTAGCAAAATTTTTGACCTCAAGTTCCTTGAAGCAATGAAACCAAGAACACACGAGGAAAATGGTTTTAAAATCCATCTTCTTTGTATTACAGAAAGTTTTGAAAAATATTTCTTTTCCTAATTTACCCCTATATCTAAATTAAGCCACATAACTTAGAGTTGGATAATCCTAGATTCAAATATTTGTTCATTCACTTTGTAGATTTGTGGCTTTGGATAAGGAAATTAAACCATTTATCTGAAGATAAATGAAGATGATAATACCAGCCTCATTTATAACTCATCATCATTAAATGAAGGTATTTATAGAAGGTGCAGACTTGCATTGGAATACGTCTGATAAATGGTGACTCTTTTTGTGAAACAGTTAAGGCTCCTGGATGTGCCCTTAGCCTCAATGGAGAAGTGAGATCATCTCCCAAATTCTTTCCAGTGATAGCAATTTATGTTTCTAAGATTCTTAATTCAATGGGAAATCTTTTAATTATACTAACTCTTTAATTATACCAACCCTCTATTAAAGATAGAGATTTAGACCAGCCAACCCTCAAAAAATGTACACAAATCATTTTTGATTCTTAACTATAGTAAATGAATAAATTTGAACACATAACACAATTTATTAACTCTAATGTGATTTAACTATATATTTTTCATTAATATTCATAGCATATTTTGGAAATTTTTAACAGCCAGTTTACCAAAAATTCAGTAGTATTAATTCTACTGTAAAATATACAGTATCATAATCATATCCCCTAGCATTAAAAAGAGTCCAAATATCTCCTATATTTCATTTATTTCAATGAGTAGCACATGCTTCTACAATTCTAATAACCATGTCTTACAACGATTACTCTTTTAAACTGTTCTTCAGAGCTATCATTATTCTGGGACAAATAGGGCGGATCTTTTATGACAACTAAAACGGACATTTCTTGTGCTTACTTTCAAACAGCAGCTAGAAGCAATGAGGACGCCTTACCTGACCCTATTGGCTTTAATGGCCTGCTTCTCAGTAAGTACTCATGAGCTCAATTAATCTGCCTGTATATTTAATTATAAATAAAAAATAATTATTTTGGAGATTTCATATACATATATATATATTTCCTTTTTGCAATTGAATAAGAGAACATACCACAATATCTCTGATTTCAGCTTTCAGATTCTCAGACTTGATATTTAGGTGTTAAATTTTCTTACCACTATATTTTACATTTTTTACTATTGGCACCCTGTCTATGTTTGTGTATATGGCATTTTACATACCTAAAAAGGCCATAAAAATATAACTTCTTGTGAATATTCCTCTCTACGTCGTATAATCTAGTGTTTGTTAGTATAAAGGTCTCAGGATGAAAAATAAAGATGGAATTTCTGGTAGTTGCTTTTAGGTATCCATACTCTGCCCTCACTAAATCCTAGAAAGATTCACAAAGAAAATAGGATTTGAGAAGATCTTTAAAAGATATCCACATGCTAATCATAAAGAACTAACTTTGTATAGTACTAATAATCAAAGAAAGAACATAACTAAAAATGCCTGTCCAGCCTTATTTTTAAAAATCATGTGGAATGTAGAAGAATACTGTCCCTTCCATTTGCAAGCTAAGTAATAGCCGAATATACTGGAAAGACTATATCACATGTAATAGGGAACCTCTGAATGGGTAGCCACAGGGGAATGATGACCATCCCCAACCAAAAGTCCAGACGATGTGTTGTAATAAACTGCAGTTATTATTTTCTTTCTCTTCCTTCACTTTTTTTTTTTTTGAGACAGAGTCTCACTGTGTTGCCCGGGCTAGAGTGCCGTGGCGTCATCCTAGCTCACAGCAACCTCAAACTCCTGGGCTCAAGCGATCCTCCTGCCTCAGCCTCCCGAGTAGCTGGGACTACAGGCATGCGCCACCATGCCCGGCTAATTTTTTCTATATATTTTTAGTTGTCCAATTAATTTCTTTCTAATTTTAGTAGAGACGGGGTCTCGCTCTTGCTCAGGCTGGTTTCGAACTCCTGAGCTCAAACAATCCGCCCGCCTCGGCCTCCCAGAGCGCTAGGATTACAGGCGTGAGCCACCGCGCCCGGCCTCTTCACTTTTTTAAAACACAAAAATTATCAACTATCACAAAGAAAGCTCAAATTCTTACAGATTGTTGATGTTTGTTTGTTAATTCCTAGAAAATATTAGCCCTGAAATAGAAAAGTTAAGACTTCAGGAAATAAAGCGTTTTTGGTTTGTTTTTTTTAAGGTTTGGGTTTTTTTTTTTATTTGAAAATATTAAGGGGGTACAAATGTTTTTGTTACATGGATACCTTTTATAATGCTTAAATGAGGGCTTTATAGTGTGCCTATCCCCTGAATGTTCATTGTACCCAATAGATAGGGTTTTACCCCTTCCCTCCTACACGCCCTTCTTGATTTCCTATGACCTTTATATATCTTTGTGCCCATGTATGCCCATCAATCAGCTCCCAATTATTAGAAGTACATGTGGTGTTTGTTTTCCCATTCCTAAGATATTTCACTTAGGATAATCTCCATTCCACCCAGCAATCCTACTACTGGCTATCTATCCAAAGGAAAAGAAGTCATTTTATTGAAAAGACACCTGCACTTGAATGTTTATTGCAGCACAATTCACAATCGCAAAGACAGGGAATCAACCTAAGTGCCCACCAATTCATGACTGGATTAAGGAAATAAAGTTTTTAAGATCAAAATGATACTCTAAGAAGTCCAGACTCTACAGGATATCTAAATGAGTTTTCCAATAAAAATTAATGAGGCTGGGCGCGGTGGCTCACGCCTGTAATCCTAGCTCTCTGGGAGGCCGAGGCGGGCGGATTGTTTGAGCTCAGGAGTTCGAAACCAGCCTGAGCAAGAGCGAGACCCCGTCTCTACTAAAAATAGAAAGAAATTAATTGGACAACTAAAAATATATAGAAAAAACTAGCCGGGCATGGTGGAACATGCCTGTAGTCCCAGCTACTCGGGAGGCTGAGGCAGGAGGATCACTTGAGCCCAGGAGTTTGAGGTTGCTGTGAGCTAAGATGACGCCACGGCACTCTAGCCTGGGCAACACAGTGAGACTCTGTCTCAAAAAAAAAAAAAATTAATGAACCAGTTCCAGGTTACACTAAGTGATGCTTATATAAGGTAAACAGTTTACTTTTGCATTCAACATGCATTTATCGAAGTCAAACTATGTGCCAGGCACTGTTCAAAGAACTGGAGATACAGAGTAGAAGGAAGAAGGCGAAGTCACTGACTGCTCACATAGAGCCTACTTTCTTGAAAGTGGTGGCAAATCACAAACAAAAAGATCATTTTAAATAATGATAAAAATAAACTGTGGGAACTAAAATAGAGTAAAATGATAGAGAGTAAAAACGTTAGTTTAGATTGCATGTTTCAAAAACCCTTTCCAGAAAGTTGTCATTTAAGCTGAATAACAAAGGGGGGAAAAAACACCAAGCAATGATGTTGGAGCAGAGAATTCTAGACAAAGGTCCACCAAAGAGGGAACAAGCTTGACTCAATCATGGAACAGAAAGAAGATCAGTGTCTGGAAGTAAGTGATTGTGAAGAAGAGTGAGGTGGGGGCTGGCTTCTGTAGTGCCTTCTAAGTGGTAATAAGAAGTTTGGATTTCATTCTGAGGTCGATGGGAACCCAATGAGAAGTCTAAGCAGGGGATTTGATGCCTGACTTTTATTTTTAAAAGCACTGTGTCCTGTGTGGAGGATAGATCACAGGGGACCAGAATAGCAGTAAGGGCGATTACATGGGATGGATGTGACATAATTTAGTCCGTCATATCTGGTAAGATTGGGCATCATATTTCTAAACAAAAGTACATGAGCATTTATACATTTATAAGTTTACTTATAATAATGTAGTATTTATCTTGAAATATCATATATGGTTCTGTTCACACTTTTCATCAATAATAACTATAGATCTGCTGCAAAATGATTTTTTGTCTCAATTCCAGTAATTCTTCATTTGTTATTTCAATTAAATATGACTATTTATAAATAGAAATGAAAATTAGAAAGCAATATACAAATGTAATATATTTTTATTAACCCCACTTACTAATTGATAATTTGCTAAAATTTAGTGAAAATTAATATATTCTAATATCTTTAAGCACTTTAGTAGTGCAGTTAAATTTCATCTATTGTAGAAATTTTTTAAAAGGTTTAATTTCATATTTAAGTTAATAAACCGTTTACTTTTACAACAAAACTATAACTAGAAACTCTACTTTGGTGAATGAGAAAATTATTTCTTTTAGATGCAAGATATCATAGTAGTTATTATTATCATTTGTTAGTCTTGAAATATATAAAAAGTCACCATATGTCATTTCAAACATGAAAGACCTAAGAAACACACATGTATGGAAAGACTTGTTAGTAACTTAAAATACTATTAAAAATGGGCTCTGCCAAAAAAAAATCAATATTGGTTTGTATTGTTTCTTTCAGTTTTTCTGATGCATGCTCCAACAACCATTATACTATATTGTATTACATCATAACTGTTAATTTTTTAAAGTCCTTGGAGTCAAATAACTTTAAAAATTATAAGTTTGAAAAAGTTAAATGGATTTTTTGTTTGGGATTTTGATTAAGCTGCAGGATTTCTCAGCATCTTTAAAATGCCAAAATGAATTTCTCTCTCCAATGGAGGAATGTAGTGTAACGTTGCTCATTGTCGATGCAGATCATGAGCATGTACACCATATCCATCTTGTACATCTTTGAATCCCCCTGCATCTAACACTCGGCCCAGGATATAGTTGGCACCAATACACATGTGATGCAGTGGGGACATAAAAACAGAGGGAGAAGAAACAAGATGCAGTGTTTGACAGATCAGGAGGGTGACTGTAGTTTACAGTAATCTATTGTATATTTCAAAATAGCTAGAAGAGAATCATTTGAATGTTTATGGCATAAAGAAAAGACAAATTTTTAAGGTGATGGATACCCCAATTACACTGCTTTGATCTTTACGAATTATAAGAATGTATTAAATTATCACATACTCTGAAAAAATGTACATGTATTACGCATCAATAAAAAATAAAATTAAGAAAATGATAATTCACCTAAAAAATAGAAGACGACAAGGAGGATGGCGAGAATAAAAAAAATACACAGTTCAATCTCCCAAACAGCATCAACACACTCTTTGCATTTTTCTTAATGATGAAAAAGTAATACAAGTATGTTCTAGAAAAATTGGAGAAAAATAGAAAAGTGTAAAGGAGCAAGAAAAAAAATCCATTTAGGATTCTTAAACTCATGAATTCTTTGTCAGAAGGTGGCAGAGTAATAACAAGCAAGGTCCTGGCCCTGGCCTATAGCCAGCCTGCCTCCCCTCCAATCCCTGGCTCCTCCTCCCTCCCTCAGCCCCACCCCAACACTGGGAGAAGACACCTGAAGGCAAATATGGATACTCCAGCCCAGATATCTTCCTCAGTTTCCCTTCATGCCTAGGGGTGTATGTGCATGCTAGCAGCATGGTCCTCTTAGTAGGATGGACTCAGGGAAGAGGATTTTATGTTTCTGGAAGTGAACTGGGGGAGGAGGAAGAAAACCTCCTAGTGATTCCTTCCTCTTCCTCTTGCCCCCATGGCCACACAAGGGCCAAAGTAAGGGCCCTTTAAACCACAGGGCCCAGGTCGGGGGTCCCTCTTACTTGAGTCTGAAGGCAGTACTTGTCATCCTGTATGTGCTTAATGTTTTTCATCTTTCTTTTCCACAGTCAGGTGGGACACAAGAGACAAATAAGCCAAAAAACAGAGCATTACCAAATTCATTTTCTCGAGGCCCAGCTTCACTTCAGCATGCACCTTCTTCAGTTAAAACTGGTCGGATTCAAATCAAATCAAATCCATTTGCCCAACAAAGATCTGTAGGCTCCCAAACTCATTTAAGTGCTATTGCTTCTAAGAGATCTAAGAAGATCAATCCTTGTCAAATTTCCCCTGGCCGACAAGGGGGTCTTTGTCCCCAAACTCATGGAAATTTACCTCCAAAAACAAGTTCTAGATCTGTTAAATCTCATCCAGGAAAATCTCCACTAACATTCACCAAAAAATCTAAAACACACTCAGGTGTTTATATTCACCCTGAGCTAGCTCAATCCAAATCTCTTTCAATTAATCAAAGAAATGCGCAAACCAAACTTAAGCCAAACTCATTAATTCAGCCCCAAAAATCAAAATCTCAACCAAAAAGACATGGACAACAGGTAAATAAATATATAAAAGGAGGACCTAACAAAAAAATAATTTACCTAAAAACTGACCAACGAAATCCTGGGCTAAAATCTCCAATGGAACAAAGTGGCCACCAACATCCAAATCATAGAAAATCAACCACTAACAAAAGGTCCTACACTATCAAATATTATCCATGCAAAACTGCTAGAGTATTACTAAGGAAATCCAAATCTCAATCCAATGCCAACAATCAACAAAACCCACATCAGCCTAAACCTCCTTCATCTTCAACTGGTAAACAAAATGGTCGGCTTCAAAACAAGTCAAAACCACAGAAAACATCTAAACGGTCAAAACTTAACATGAATACAAACCTGGAGAAAAGATCCAGGCAAAGAAAAATCCATCTTCCACAGCAAACTAATCAAAGGAGACAGCATATAAACACAACAAAAACAAAACAACCTAGCCACTCAAAAACTCAGGCAAAAATATATAGACGAAAAATAATTAAATACACAAAACAGCAATCTCAGAAGCAGAGATTTGTCTGAAAAATATCTCGCAAACCAAAATCTCCCCTAAACCATCTTTCACACTGTAATCCTGATAAACCAAGAGGTTTTCCACTGAAACCTGGCTCATACAAACATCATTCAAATCCATTTAAGAAAAACAAAAGTCACTTTTCAAGACACAAACCAGTTCTTTCTTGTAAGCCCAAGCCCAAGCCCAAACGGAAGCCCATTGGACATCAACCTCTTCCAGTTTCACAGCAGCCTGAATCCCCACAGCCATCCTCATCTGTCACCAAATTTCCCATCCACAAACCTGAAACCACTGCCACAAATCCAACTGCACCCACTCCCTCAAATATCGTGACATCTGCTAGTACTGTGTCTGCTGTAAGGTCCACAACTAAGGCTACCACTAGCTTATCTAATGTTCTTACCACAGAGGAGATTTCTACTAGCTTACCTGCTGTTACCACCTCGGCCTCCAAGGAAACACCTGAAAATACGACATTTGATGCTTTAATCGCACCAGCTTCCACACCTGCTTCCACCGAGTATTTTACCTCTATACCCACATCCTCTTCTTCAGGAACCAAATCTGTAGAAAGGGCCACAGCATCCGTGGTCGCTACTGAGGTCAAGACAACTGAAGTCACTACTTCTACTCCCGCCGCGTCCACAGTGACCACCACTGACTCACTCCCTACCACGATCACTACACCTGCCCCCACTAGCCAGTCCTCAGCTTCGGCTCTGTCTGCCGCTACCACCACTGCACTTGTAGCCACTACCCAATTCGACTCAGCCTCCCCATCCAGTACAGAAGCGGTCACTTCTGACAACACTGCAAATCACGATTTATCGTATTCTATAATCTTTGATTATTTTGAACCTGAAACAACCACGTTTTCAACACCTATGTCTACTACCTCTACAATAAGCCCTACTGCAGGAACATCAGCGGTCAGTACCACATCATCACTCACTGGTACTGATTCTACTGCTGTAACTACCGAAAACGCTATCAAGAACACTTCTGCTGCTCTTGCCACCACATCAACTGTCATTCCCACAACTGCTCTGTTGACCACACCTGCAGCCTCCACTACTGCCACCACCAGCACCCCTCCAGCCACATCAGCTCCCATTGCGTCAACAAGCACGACTGCTTCTGGCACCACTTCAACCGTTGCCCCCAGCACGTCTGCCTCTTCTACACCTCATACCACCTTCTCTGAAACCACAACTGGCACTCCAGCCAGCACATTAAACACAACTGATGACACCATGACAATTATATCTACAGTTTATGACACTACTATAGTTTATGACACTACATTCGATTATGATGCTACCACAGGAGATTATGCAAGTGGCACAGATTATTATGAATACCCTTGATACTATTTTGTCTACCACTTATTCAATAGGAATGTTACAAAATCTCTCCCATATCTAATAACTGTCTCCTCTCCAGCACCACTTTATGTATGTCTGCCTGCTATCTTCATAATCGTATGTTACTGTGATTCCTACAACCAATAATTAACTTGTAACCAATATTTCTATAATTTTAATTTCTTCTCTCAACTAAATATATTTTCATTTCTACACTTTGGGCAAAAAAGAAATCTAATACAATTATGTAGAAGATTCATGGAACTGCAGCTGAAAATTTATAATTTAAATATTCATTTATAACAATTATATCACTCCCAATGAATGTGAAATTATAAAAATAAGTTTTTAACTAAAATTTTATTTTTAAAGATCTATACAGAATTGAAAGGCAGACTAAAGAGATATGTCAAAATGTTATAAAATGTTATTACTGGTTCTCTTTGGGATGATTAGATTATAGGTTATTTTTTTTTTCCGCTTTATTTTTTCTACATATCTGTATTTTCCAATTTTAATGAAGCTGTGTATGTTTTAATTGAAAAGTAAATAAGCATCCTTTTAAAAACTCAACCATGTTCTCTGTTTTTCTAATTATTATTATATGATAAAGTCCATTGTCTAGACAAACTTCAAGCTTTCAAGTTCTGAATGAATGCTAAGGAGATAATTAAATTATTCATATTATATCAAGTAAAAAAGTTAAAATTCATTCATTTATTCAAAAATATTGTTGAGTGCCTACCAAGAGCCAGGCACTGTGTTAAGTGTTTTACAAGAGTTATCTCCTCTATTACTCAGAACAAGCCTTCAATCATCCAGCCTTTAAACAGTAATGACCTATTTTCCTTATAAAGGTTACAGTCCAATTAGGTATGCCTCTATGCCTTTCCTTCCTAACACAGATCCAATTTATCAAAATATAGGATATGTAAATATCTGTTTACTATTTTGACCGTATCACTCAAATAGCAGAGTAGAGGGTTGAATTATAGGGGCATGGCAGATACACACACACATTTAGAAAACCACAGGAATAGTCAAACAGATGCTAAAGACATGAACAGGTCAATGGTAGAAGGAATATGATTAGGGAAGAGTCTAATAAAGAGTTAGGAGGTAACCACTGGCCCAAGGTAACTCCCTGATAAGTAAAAGAGCCAGTTTTAAATCCATACAGTGACTTCAGAATGTGAGCCCTTAACCATCATGTCATATTGTTTCATAACTTGAAAAATAATCTATTACCATACAAATATTAAAGTGAAGCTCACATAGTATTATGAGATTTCAATGAATCATTTCTGACATGAAATGCCAGAATAGCTCCATAGAAATAAGAATACTGAAGTTAGATCTTTAAGTACATTGTAGGTTTTGACAAGTGGAGATGAGACCAATTGGATCACAAACAGAGGAAATGGTATAAGGAAAAGAATAGAGTCATAAGACCTAGAACATGTCCTAAGAATGGCATGTAGTCTTATGTGGTTAAAATGCAGTATAAGAACAGGAAAACTAAAGGAAAGGAGGCTCAAATGAGATTGGATCATTTAGCACCAGGAATAGCAAGTAGAAACCCATTCTTTATTCGGTGCAAAGGCAATTTATGTAACCAAAGCATTTGTACCCCCATAATATTCTGAAATAAAAAATAAATAATAAAACTACAATGAGATACCACCTTACCCCTATCAGAATGGCCATTATTTAAAAGTCAAAAAATGATAGATGCTGGCATGGATGCAGAGAGAAAGCAACACTTATACACTGTTGGTGGGACTGCAAATTAGTACAACCTCTATGGAAAACAATATGGAGATTTTTCATAGAAATAAATGTAGACTTACTGTTTGATTCAGCAATCCCACTACTAGGTATCTACCCAAGGAAAAAGAAGTTTTATCAAAAACACACCTGTGCTGGAATGTTTATCACAGCACAATTCATAATTGCAAAGATGTAGAATCACCCTAAGTTCCCATCAATCCATGAGTGGATAAAGAAAATGTGGTGTGTCTCTCACACACACACACACACACACACACACACACACACACACACACTGGAATATTACTCAGCTATAAAAAAGAATGAAATATTATCTTTTTCAGCAACTTGGATGGAATTGGAGACCATTATTCTAAGCGAAGTTTCTCAGGAATGAAAAAGCAAATACCACACATACTCACTAATAATGCAGAGCTAAATGATGGGCATGCACAGACACAAAGAGATCTAAAGGACAATGGAAACCAAACAGCATTGCTCACTGCATTTTCATTGAAAAACATATCAGAGGTTTATCCAGAGTGCCTGAAAACTTTTAGGAGGGGGTGAGAGGGGGATGAGAGGTAAAAATTACCAGGTAGAATAAACACTATTATGGTGACAGGCAGACTAAAAGTCCCTACTTAAGTATTATACAGTGTATCCATGTAGCAATAACATTTGTACCCCTTAATATTATGAAATATAAATAAATAAATATGGTCACGGATATAATAATACAGAATGAGCCATTAAATAAATAACTGCATAATTTGAGAAAATAGTAGTGTGACAATATTAAAGAAAACATAATTCAAAGTGAAAAGATTTAAATATTAATAGAATAAGGAGGGAAATTTTATACTGATAAAAGTTATGCTCTATTTGGAAAATACAAAACCCATAAAACTTTATGTATTTAAATTCATATAAATGAAATTACATTTAAATTTAAATGAGAAGTATCACAAATACAAGAAGAAATTGTTAATTCCAAATCTAGGTGAGAAAATTTAACATGTGTTCTCTCTGAAAACTGGTCAAGAACAAAAAAAGTAAGGATATAAAGAATTTGAGAAATGTTATTTTTACTTTTAACACTAACAGTTACCCCAAACAGAAAATTCACATTTTTTTACAAACATTTATGAAAGCTTTATAAATAGACAGTGTAAGATAAGAGAAGCAGACCTGATTGGAAAGACTGAAAATCCTAAATGAGCCGTTTACTGCAAAGTACAAATTGTTTGTCTAACCTTCTTTTGATGCACGCACCTACAGATATAATGAATGCCACAATTCATCTTTGTGCATCTCTAATCTTTGTGCCGTGATGTTAACAAAGATAAATGCTCCATGGTTACCTTGGCAGGAAAGAGTTTACCACCTTCTGGAATGAGCAATTAGAGTAAAGGACTTTTATCTACTTGGTTTGCATTTTAGCTAATTGATTAATAAATGAATTAATGGATTAGTAGATGTTAACGTTATTAAAACAAGGCAAATCTGTATTATAAATTAACAAGTTTCCATAAGCAAGACACCAAAGCTCATAGACTCCAGACCCACAGGGACTTCCCAAATTGAAGTTATGGGCCCATTTTTGGTTACTGAATATCTCATGAAAATAGAAAATATCACACTAGATAATTCACTTTTTTAGAAGGTAATATTAAGACACTTATATTATAAACCATAGATAGCTAGATGCAAGGAAAAAAAGAAGAGAAAGAGACATACACAACAAAGTAGAATGAAAGACTAAATTGTGAGGTACTAACCAATAATCAAAGCTCAGAATGAGAGGAAAAAATCTACAAAGCTGGTAATCTCATCAAGGATGACTTCATAAACTAATAAAGTTTTAGAAGCCTTGTTTTGATAGATAATTTTCCAAATATTACATGAGAGGCAGGAGCAAAATGAAAAATGACAGTTCCCCAAGAGTGAAGTGAATAATATGCATAAAATTTATAAATAACTTCTATTTTAACTGTACATCTAATGTTACAAGCATTCCTCTACATATTTTTGAAATAAAGGATGGTAGAATGTGACTAAGTCAACAGTGCCTGAACTTACATTTTCCATTTCTAAAACAAATTACATCTTCTGTAAGATATAATAAAATCAGATTCAACAAGCATACATTAAGTGCCTTATTTGCACAATATTCTGCACTAGAAACTATGGCCAAAACAAAGAAATGAGAGATCAAACTTGTCCCTAAGCAAGTGGGCAAGTCAGACAGATATACACATTACTATAATGAAAGGTATATACTGAGATAGGTGCTAAATAGGGAGAAAAAACAAAATAGGTCAATGGACTTTGTAGAACAAATGAAATAGGATCCTTCTACCACTAATATTGTATAATACCACAATCATGCTTTCAATCTTTTTTCATTGGTCTTTTCCAATTTTCACATTATAAATTGGATAGAATGGACATGACTATAAAAGGCTTTTTTATTAAGACCACAAGGCTTCCTTAAGAGTTACGGAACCTTCAGTACTTGGATTCCCAGTGGCGAAAGGTTACTAAAACCTTCGCTTACGCACTTGGAAAAAACTGGTGTGGTGAATCACAACACAACTATTCCTCAGGAAAGAACACAAAAGACAACCATCTATTCTTTCGTTTAAGCACAGCCTGCAATCCAGACGTGACAATCTCTTCCAACACAACATTTCCTATCTCTAAAGAACAGAATAGGGAAAAGAACAGGTTATAAAAACCATTCTTGTCTCACTAGTTCTGCTCATTTGTGTCCATAATCTTCACTTACTCCTGGGTGATGAAGATGCTCAAACGCCGTAGTTGACAAGAATCCTTTAACTAGTAAGTTGATCATATCAAGAAAAAAAGACCCTGTGAAGGTAGGTACTAGTAATTTTCAATAGAAACTTTTAAAAAGAAACCCAAGACTCAGTTCTTTTTTATCTTTGGGATTTTCAAGATAATGAAAAGTTTTCAGGCACTCTGGATAAACCTCTGATATGTTTTTTAATGAAAATGCAGTGAGCAATGCTGTTTTTATACATATGCAATATGTATTACAGACTATGATGAAGGTAAGTTTTTATTAGCCCCATTTAGAATAGCCCAATCCACCTAATGGCCCTTTTCTATACTTCTCCTCCTAACTTTTAATGTCAAATAACATTCACTCACCTGACCATAGGCTTAAAGCAATT